GTTTTGATGAGCACAGACTCCTTCGCTAGACTTGCTGTGCTGAGATTAGACACGCCTTTTGCATCTTGCAGGAAGCCAGTCCTGTGACATAGTCGACAGAAGACACGACACTTGTTTCTGAGAGTGTTTCTCGGTGTCCCTTGAACTAAGTGTGTTGGCAGCACCCTCGCACGTGTTAGAAATGCAGGTTCATGGGCCACACCCTTACCTACTGAGGGAGACTCTGGGCCTGGGACCAGGAAACAGCCTTAACAGGCTGTGCCACAGGTGATCCTGTGAGTGCCGCCTGGGACAGGGCTGGACACGTTCCCAGGTGCCAGGGGCGTGCGCCTGTTCGGCGCACTGAATATGTAAGTATTATTTGAATTTAGTGTTAGGAGTTCTTTTATGTTAGTTCCATACCCAAGAAGCTCATAGAACATGGTTTTTACGTTTTAAAAGCATTATGAAAACACAGCTATTACTAATAGTTTCTTCCTGGCAGAGAGAGAGTTCTCTGTCAGACCCACGTGTGGCCACCTGTGGTACGGATTCCTGTACAGCAAAAAGGGTGGATTCGTGGCCATTGCCCCTCCCACCTCCCTTGTGCAGAGCAGGGACGACCGCCCTTTCAGGAAAGGAAGGAGTGGGAACATGGAGCAGTTACGGGTCCTTTGCAGGGATGCATCTCTGGGGAGGCCAGAGCATTCCCTGTCCAGGTGGGAGAGGAAATCCCGGGGTTAGGTCAGGCGTGTCCCACGTGGTATTTGGGACATATTTACAGTAAAGAAATTATTTTTTGTTTATCTAGAATTCAAATTTAATGGGGCAACAACCTGTATGTTTATTTGCTAAATCTGGAGGCTGCCGAGCGTTCACAGAAACGCTCAAATAGCTTTTTCATCCGGGCAGTGGTTTCTCTGGCAATACAATTATTTTAAACCTTCGGACTTCAGAGGTTTCTGATCTGTTTATTTCCAGTCAGTTCTTTGGGCAGTGGCCTGGAAGCCCTTGTTGGACTGGCCCCGTTGGTGCCTTCGTTCCTTCAGCCCCTCCCCTCTGTTCCTGTCACACAGGTTAATGCTGGCTGCCGTGGCCATTTGCTAGAGAATCTGGGTGGGAAGGCAACACCCTGAATCAGATCTTCTCCTCAGGGCTGAGTGTGTTCAACTGAGAAATTTTATTGGGCTTTTTCTCTCAAAGCTTTTTTTTCCTGCTTAGCGTCCAGTTTGAGGTCTAAAAACAGGTGGCTTTTCTAACCTCATGAATTTCTTTTAACTGCTGCTTGAAAACCAGCTAGTTCTCACGTGAGCTCATCTCTCTTAGGCTGCCTTGCCAAGTGCACCAGATTAACAGCAACACTGCTAACTGGCTTTTCCCAGCCTCTTCCCCCACAACCTATAGGTCTGGGACGTGTTTGGGCTTCTTTTCTAAGTCCTTGCAGGCAAGTCTCACCTAGTGTTTCACCAGGGGATAAGAAGATTTCAAATCTTCCACATCTGTTTCCTTGCTGCCTGGGGCTTGTCCCCTAGGCTAACGCGAGGGTACCCATTCCATACACAGAGAAGCAGCGTGGGAAGGCTCAGCACAGTGGAGTTTTATTTCCACCCTCACAGTGGTCCTTTGTGAGGCTTTAGTTCAGTGCAATAGCTTTCTTCCAGGTGCTCAGTCAGGGACCCAGGCTTCCTCCATCTTATGGCTCAGCCATCCCCATCGTTCTCCATAATCTGAGCCCATGGGGCGGGGATACCACAGAGGGGCATTCGTGGGCGATTTATGGGTCAGTCAGCACTTCTGTTCACTGGCCATTGGTCAAAACCCAGTCCATGGCGCTGCCTGGTCAGCAGGGAGCGTGAGAACGTAGTGGAGCCAGGTGCCAGGAGGAGGGCAGGAGGGGCTTGGTGGACAGCTGTAGTCTCCGCCCCAGTTGTGTTCGGGGAAACAGTTAGTAGGTGGTTCTTTGTGCTACAAAGGTAAGTGATCAGATTTTCTAATCAGTTTGTGTTATGGTGAATCTATGTTTGGTTTTTTGTTTTCTAATTTCTCTCTCAAAAAATAAATACTGCTACTATAAATTTGTATAAATGTGTTCTGTGTTTTTTTTTTTCTTCCTCCAGTCAACAAAACGGAATATTCCGATGCTCTTTGTCCGGGGAGATGGTGTTGTGCTAGTTGCCCCACCTTTGAGAGTTGGCTGAGACAAAGAATTTGTCCTGTGTGGAAAATAGGAGACTTTGTATCATTGCCTCTTTAAACGTAGAAGACACTCAAAAGAGAACCTGCGTACATTTTGATATTAAGAAATGACCAAGAATTCTTCCACTCCTGAAATAAGTTGATTTGCAGATAACTAACAAATTCTTAAGCTAAGTAGCATTTTAATTTTTCTCCATCCCTTCTAATAAATGTGATCGCCAAGATGCAGAACTCTTTTTCAGGAGTTGATCTGCTCCATTGTTTTTTCGGACAATTTCTGGGTCTTTTTCTTTAAATTAAATTTGATGTTTCCTTTTTGATTTTTAATGCAGTCTCCTGTCTTGTGAATTCTTTAATCAAGTGTCTTCCGTTCACTTTATTTGTACACTTTTGTAATGCGTCTGCTGTGTTTGCGGCACCGAGTCGAGTCCTGGGAACCACAGCTTTGTCAGTATGCTTCCTTCCCTCAAGTCTTCTGGGAGGTCACTTGTTTAAACCAGTAACTGCAGGACAGTGAGGTCAGTGCTGATGGCATCAGGCACGTGTGGGATGCTGTTACAGCGCAGAGAAGAGCACCCAAATCGGAAGGAACTGCTGGGCGGGCATGGGGGTGGTGATGACGTCTCATTGTAAACGCTGGCGTTTCCGTCACTTCTGTGCGGCCTGGTTCATTTCTGAGGTCAGACTTCAGTGCTTCTGCACCCACGTGGCTCGGCTGGGTCACGTCTGCCAGTGCTGCACGAGCCTTGTGACTGAAAGAAACCATTTTGCACTCTTAGATCACAGGCCATTAATGATGAGAGGTCTAAAACAACATCTCAGTGCCACAGGAAAACAAAGTGGCTAAAAGCGAAGTGATTTTTATTTCTAGCTTCAGTCAGCACTTAATACTTGAAAGGTAAAGGGGAAAGTCTGTGTGAGTGTTGCGATCACCAAACTTTAAGACGGGGCTTAGAACCCAACACCCTGGACGAGGTAGGTGGTACCATTTTGAAACAAAATTTGATCTGTAGATGGCTTATCTGTAAATATGCTGAATGTGTGTAAATCCATTGTCTGGTACAGGGTGCGAACATGCACACCATTTTAAGCCACGTATAAGGAAGGTGCTTTCAGTAGACATTATGTAAAAAGGTTTGTTTTCATTATTTATCATACTTATTCCTGCAAGTTACTGGAAAAGGGGTCGCAAGGACGGGCAAGCGGATGGAGTTGGTCCTTACGTGAGTGGACAGGAGAGAACCCTTCACTCCGCCACCCCCACACTTTGTCCTAGGGCCTTAGTGGTCCCAGGATGTCACCTGTTTACAGCAACCCGTTCACTGTTGACGCAGTGGGACTGTGGTTCTGCCTTCAGCCAGTGGCTGATCCTTTGGGTCACCCTTTCTGAGTAGAGCACTCGCTGAAGTGTAGATGGTGGTGAAACAGGAAATAACTTCCGTCGTCTGTGGAACACAGCACGCCAGGCAAAGGCATTTTGTCTGCATATTCCCGTGCACTCCGGGCGACAGCTCTCCCGTGGGACGTTAAGAGAAACCGAAGCTCCACAAACATTCATCCAGCAGTCCGAGGCGTGTGGGCACGTGGGCCGGGCGTGCGGCGCGGCCCTGGCTCCGGTATCCCCCGGCCAGGGCATGACGGCCGCTGCAGTTCTCCCCATGCTGGTTTTTAGTGGCATCTGGTACCTGTGCTTAATTCTTGGATACTTTTTTTACTCCATTCTTGGTCATCCTTCTTTTTTCTCCTAGAATCGATACAATACACTAGAACTTTTTTTGCTGTTAAGACTACTGTTTACGCACATGTGTTTCTAAAATTCATGAGCCTTAAAATGTGCACATAAAATTCAGCAGCCCTGCACCAACCTCCGCTCGCTCCTGCCACTAAGATGCAGGGAGGGGGCAATGAAGGTTTAACAGCAGGGTAACCAGCCACATATTACCAGATGGAGGGGTGCTGTGAGCTCTTGGAGCTCAGGCTGCCTGCCTGGAAGGTCTGAGCCGGGACTCGGGCTGCCACAGTCCTCCCCACCCAGGCCTCCCCTGCAGGTCCGCAGGTGCTGCCCTTTGAGGGACTGCAGTCGGGGCCCTGGGAGCTGGGCCTCGGGCTTCCGAGGCCGCAGTGCACTCTGAGCCAGCTGGACGGCCGTGGTCATTGGAGCCGGTGACTCATGGTTTCTGCCACACAGTGTCCCATCACTCAGGGGGAGCCGTCTGCTTGTCTTTCCTCTGGATCCTCTCCAGTAGATGCCATCCCTGGATCCCTGCGTCAGTGGCTTCCTGGGAGAGATTGCTGTGAACTGTCGTGGCTTCCCGCAGAGAAAGCTGGACAGACGGAACCTGGGCCTGCACACTCGCTGTGAGATGACTGTGCCCAAACTGAAATCCAAGTAAGTTGAGTATCCCACTTCAGACTGAAAATCATTAGCTACAAGTGGACAATTTTCACACACTTTAAATAGTTCTGAAGGTCAGCGCAAACTAGGCTGTTTTCACACACCCTTTATCACATGCACAGGCATGCCACGGGATGTTGCAGGTTTGGTTCCAGACCACAACAAACAGCACCACAACAAAGCGAGTCAGTCTGTTCATTCTCCCAGGGCACATAAAAGTCTGCACTGTACTGTAGCCTGGTAAGTGTGCAACAGCAGTACATCTGAAAAAGTACACGCCTTAATTTAAAAGTGCTTCATCGCTAAAAAGTGCTAACCACCCCCTAAGCCTTCAGTGAGTCTAATCTCTTTGCAACAGTAACATCACAGGTCTCTGATCACAGATCCCCATAACAAACAGAACAATGAAAAAATGGGAAACGTTGCAAGAATTACCAAAATGTGGCGGGGAGACGTGAAATGAGCAAATGCTGTTGGGAACCATGGCGTCAGCAGACTCGGTGCAGGGAGGCCACAGACCTTCAGTTTGTAAACACAGTGAAGTGAAGTGTGGTGAACGAGAAACGCCTGTATGGCTCACCTACGTTGCAGCCTGCAGTCAAGGGAGGGCCATTCCGCTGTGCGAGCAAGCGCCAGCTGGGAGCAGTGCTCACCGGGGGAAGTCACTGAAAATCCCGGGAGTGGCCTGCAGGACCGAGAGGCCCACTTCATGTTTGTGCCCCTCTGCTCTGCTGAGCTGTGTGGATTTCATTCTAGGGCAGGCCCTACCCAGGAGCAGACCCAGGCTTAGAGCCCCCCTGCTTGCCAGTGCAGACGTCTCATTCTGCGCTGGTTCACCTGCCGGTCCACAGCTAGTCACCGTGGCCAGGAGAGCGGAGGGCTCCCGCTGGCCGGGCCTGAGCCATGTGCCCATCGTGGAACTAGGGTAATTGATCCCTGCCTGAGCCTGTGGACTGAGCGTGCAGGGGGTGCTTCTCCAAAGGGAGCCAGAGGAAGGGTGGATGCGAGCTGGAGACAGTGCCCTTGTGTAAGGATAACTGGTGGTCTCTAACTCACAGGGAAGTAGACCCCTGTGCTCTTTGATCGTTAGTAACACGTTTTGGGGGTACACCTCACAGCAGAGACGTGATGATTGGAAGCCATTGCTCAGGGATCCAGCAGGAGGCCCTACAGCACCCTGAGGGGAGTCAGGGCCCGTAGAGTTCAGGCTTCTTCCAGGGCTGGGCCTGATGGTAGCTAGAGTCCTCCTGTGGGTTGAGGTGGGGGACCTGCAACCTGAGGGTAGTCGACCGAGTGTGGGTACTGGCGTCCTCGGAGCTCTGAGGAGGGCGGGACACATGGCCGTGTGCGTGGGAAACGCTGAGCCCCACCCGACAGGCTGCTGCTTGTGAGCAGGGGCCATCGGCACAGGCCCTGGCACAGGGCTGAGGGTGTGTCCCCAACAAACGCTAGATCTGAGTAATGAGGCCATAAGAAAGCCATTGGCAGCCCTGTGGGTGGAAGGGGTAGATGGTACTCTTTATTCCAGCTTTATTGCATAATTGATGGAATTATAAGATGTTTAAAGTGAGTGTTGTGGTGATTTGATGTAAGTACACACTGTGAAAGGGTTCCGCCCATCTGGTTAATTAACACATCCATCACCTTGTAGTCATCTTTTTTTTTTTTTTTTTTTGGTGGGGTGAGAACTCTGAGTTCTACTCTCCAAGCAGACTGCAGTTGTATAATAGTGTTGTCACCACATTTCACATTGAATCCTCAGACCTTATTCATCGTATACCTGAAAGTTCGTACCCCTTTACCTTCCTCTCCCTGTTTCCCCCACCCTCCAGCCCCTGGAAACCACTTTTCTACAAGCTTGCCTTTTTCCTCTTCCGGGTCTCGTGTGTAAGGGATACGTGTGGTGTTTGCCTTCAGCTGGCTCCTTCCCCTTGGCGTGCTGCCTTCGGGGTCTGTCTGTGCTGTCGCAGACGGCAGGCTTCCTCGTTTCTCATGGCTGAGTGACACCCCCTCATGTGCATGACATGTGTGCGCGTTACATATGTATGTCTCACAGCTTCTTTACCCGTTCGGGGCAAATGAGACTTTCAAAGGTGAGCTTTGCCCGTTTTCCCCAGGTACTTGCGGTGTCCTGCCCGAGTTGGACACCTCCTGCCCTTCCAGCCCTCTTGAGCCGGTTGCCTTTTACCTGAGAATGGCAGTGCATGCCAGCGGTGGACACCCAGCTAGTTATCAGGCTGCGTGGAAAACTAACACCAAGAAGCGAGGAGGCCAAGGCCAAGTGTTCCAAGTTCCTTTTAGATCCATGGCTCAATTTTAGTGCCCAGGGCATGCAGATTCTTATTTTCTTGGCTGCTTCCAGAAGTTCCCTGGATGTGGAAATAGCGTGCCCACCGCGGGTTCTGATACTGGTTACTGCAGAGGAGTTTTCCTCTTGGCTACAGTGCTGTGGGGATCTGGGCTGTGACTGTTGATGGGACCCCCCGAGTTGCCCCTGGTGGGCTGGAAGACGGACCGTAGAGTATGGGAACAAGGTCAAGTCAAATAAACCTGCTTTCAAACCCCAGCTGTGCCATGTACCAACTGGGCAAAGTATTTACGGCCTAAGGCCAGCCTGTGAGGATTGGAGAGCGTTTCTGTAAGAAGCCTGGGACAGAGCCTGGAGTGGCACTGACGTATCGCAGACCCCAGGGTCAGGAGCCACCCAGGTGGAGGCAGTACTGAGCTGAGATGAGTGGGCAGCCACCCCACTGAACACAGTTCAGTTTACTCAGGTCACTCATTCATCTTAACCCCAACCGTCCCCACTCTTTTTTCTCCCTGGAGAGTTTTCAGGAGGACCATGAGGGAAATGATTTAATTCAGCCAATTAATTTTATTATCAGATGTCTTCTCGGTGCCAGGCTCTGTCAATGAAGAGCTGAAAACACAC